GTTTAGATCATCCACGTATACTGCTATGATTACAAATCCTTTGTTTGAGTACTTCTTGATGAAGATGCATGGACTGATGGGGTCATTTTTGTAGCCTTCTTTGATGAGGTAATCGCTGAGGCGGTTGTACCACATACGCCCACTTTGTTTCAGTCCATACAAGGATTTGTTCAGCCTGATGCAGTATTGATCTCGAGATGCATTTTTGTCTTTTAGTTCAATGCCATCTGGGAGTCTCATATATATTTCGTTGTCCAGGGGCCCATAGAGATATGCGGTTACAACATCCATTAACCGCAGATCAAGATTTTCTCTTATGGCCAGACTTATGAGGAATCGGAATGTTGTTGCATCCACCACTGGAGAATAAGTCTCCTCATAATCGATTCCGGGTCTCTGTGAGAATCATTGTGCTACAAGCCGTGCTTTGTATCGAACGACTTCACCAAGTTCGTTCCTTTTGCGCACAAAGACCCATTTGTGGCCCACTGGCTTGATGTGTGATGGGGTCCGGATGATCGGACCGAACACGTTTATGAGTTTGAGACTCTTTAACTCCACGTTTATGGCTTCTTTCCATTTTAGCCAATCTGTTCGATGTGTACACTGTGTTATTGACGTGGGTTCTAGATCCTCTTGCGTGAGCGCAACATCAAGTGCTACTTTGTATGCAAAGAGTGCATTTAAGTCGACTTCTTTTCGATTCCATTGTATTCTGGACATATTGTAATTGATGGAGATCTCATTGTTATCTTCTGAACCTGGAGATTCGGCGTCCCGAACTTCCATTGAGGGTTCATTAGATTGAGTCTCAGCCGCGGCTATGTCTGATATTGCAGGAATCCCGGTTTCGGTTATTGCACCTTTCTTTGATTTCCGGGGATTCTTATCTTTGGAACCGAGAGGTCTGCCCCGTTTGAGACGTGGTGCAGACTCTGTAGCAACTTGGGTCTGTCCCGTTGGGACAGCTATTCGTACTGGTGCATTACAAGCTGGGATGTACGATTTGGTTACTTTGGTCGGGTCAGCAAAGGAATCTGGCAATTGATTAGCTAGCTTTTGATAATGAATAATCTTTTGGATCTCTGAATCACATTCTAGAGTCCGAGGATCTTGCCAATTTAATGATGTTTGATTCCATGAAAGATCTTTGACCAGCTTGTTTGTCTCACCACCTAAAGAGGGATATACCGATTCATCGAATTGGCAATCCGCATATCTGGCCTTGAAGAGATCTCCAGTGGTTGGCTCGAGATATCTTATGATGGTGGGAGAGTCAAAACCAACATATATTCCCATCCTTCTTTGAGGTCCCATTTTGGTTCGATGTGGTGGAGCAATGGGTACATATACTGAACACCCAAATGTTTTGAGATGGGAGATGTCTGGCTCATGACCCGAGAGTAGTTGGGATGGGGAATATTTGTGTTCACTAGATGGCCGGATGCGTATGAGTTCAGCAGCATGTAATACTGCATGTCCCCATGCTGAGACCGGGAGCTTTGATCTCATGAGTAATGGTCGGGCTATCCATTGAATGCATTTAATGAATGATTCAGCCAATCCATTTTGAGTATGGACATGTGCTACAGGATGTTCCACGGTTACCCCCATGGCCATACAGTAGTCATTAAACGCTTGTGAGGTAAATTCACCAGCATTGTCAAGGCGGATAGTCTTTAGTGGGAAGTCAGGGAAATGAGCCCGCAATTTGATGATTTGGGCCAAGAACCTAGCGAAGGCTTGGTTCCGAGAGGACAAGAGACAAACATATGACCAACGGATCGATGCGTCTGTAAGGACCATGAAGTACCGGAATGGTCCGGAAGATGGATGTATAGGTCCACAGATATCGCCCTGGATTCTTTCTAGGAAATGAAGTGTTTGTTTAGAGATTTTAACTGGTGAAGGCCGAGTGATCAATTTGCCTTGAGAACAAGCTGTGCACATGAGGTGTTGAGGATAAGCTCGGTTTTCTTTGAGGGTATGCCCTTGAGAGTTTTGAATTAGTTTACGCATCATATTTGCACCGGGATGACCGAGCCGGTCGTGCCAAATAGTATAATCAGTAAACCGGGCTTTGAGAGTGGTATTAGCTTCAATCATACTGACTTTAGCATGGTAAAGTCCAGTAGAGAGCGCGGGTATGGTTTCGAGGATTTGTTTATGGCCGTCTACGGTTTTAGTGACTAGGAGGGATTCTTTGTTCCCTTGACCTTGGGTTTCTATGTGGAAACCATTCTGTCTTATATCCTTGAAGCTCAGAAGATTTCTCTTCGAACTAGGAGAATATAGAGCATCTGGTATTTCAAGTTGTGTGCCATTTGATAGCAACACATAGGCATGGCCATATCCTTCGATAAGATTTGAGGGACCCGCGATGGTGCTAATATTTGCGGTTTGATAGGTTAGGTTTATGAAGTAACTTTTGTTTCTTAAGATAGTGTGGCTGGATCCACTATCTACGACTATGGTTTCCATTTGCTGGTGTGCTTCATTATGAATAGAAGATAGAATTCAGTATTGAGGAATTCAGAAAATGTGATAAATCATAAAGTAAAGCAGTGTCTGAGAATAAAGGCAAATGGAAAAAAAATGAAACAAATCCCAAAATGAAAAAAAAATAAAGAACAAAATCAAATTGTATCAGAGTTTCAGATGATTGAATTAATCGAGGAGATCAGCTGTTTCATAGTCCATGGGGTCGGTCTGCTCGTTTGTGGTGTTCTCATCATCAAGGAGGTCGTCACCTTCCAGGTTAGCAGCATCGACTGGCTGAGTCATGTTGGCTTCAGCAGGAGCTTTTCCGTACTTCTGGTATAGATCGCAGTGGATCTTGGGGGTGCGACATTGCTTTGTTGGGTGGTTGAACATCCCACATCTGGTACAAGCAGAGTGATCGGGGTTGGTGTGGCGGGTCGGCTTGGTGATGCCTCGACCACGACCAGGACCATAACTGAGGTTAGGTCGGTTGCCACGACCATGTCTGCGTCCACGTCTTCCACGCCCATGTCCTCGGCCATTACCACGTCCATTACCACGTCCACGGCGGTGATCTGAGGATCTATCGGGTTGAACATGGTAGGACTCTTGACGAGAAGCTGGGACAGGAGCCGATCCCGGGGGCCTCATAGCGCTGTTTCTCATAAGCAGCTGGTTATTCTTCTCAGCGAGGAGAAGACAGGACAACAAGTCTTCGTACAATGTGTGTTTCATTGCACGGTATTGTTGTTGGAGCACAACATTCTCTGTGCTGAATGTGGATAATGTTTTCTCGAGAAGATCATTATCTGTCACATCCTCGCCACAGAGTTTCCGGATGGCAACAATACGAAAGAGTTCGTTGTTGTAATCATCTACGGATTTGTAGTCCTGGAACCGAAGGTTTTTCCAGTCGAAATCTGCCTGAGGCAACTGGACCATTTTCTGATGGTCATATCGCTTTTTCAGCGCTTGCCACAATTCAAGTGGATTCTCAAGAGTGAGATATTGCTGCTTAAGGCTCGGGGCCAGATGATGGCGTATGTGACATATCGCCTGAGACTGTCCCTTACGGGATGCGGTGCTACCGTCGGTAATACACGCATCGAGTTCTTTCGATGCAAGGAACAAGCGCATGTCTAGGGCCCACTCGAGGTAGTTATCCCCGGAGACGTGAAGGGCCTCGAATTCACATTTCTGAATGTTTGACATCTGAAACATGAGATTGATTTTGTTAGGGATTGTTTTGAGAAAATTTTGAATGCTGATGATGAAACTTTCTATTTTGAGAATATTTCTATTTTAGGAAAGTTTCTAAATTTGGAAAGTTTCTAATTTGGGTAATTTTCTAAATGAGGAAAGTTTCTATGTCGGGAAAATTTCTATATGAGGAAAGTTTTTATATGAGGAAACTTTCTATTAGAGGGAACTTTCTCGGAAATAGTAAATTTTAAAGGGTATGGTTTTAGTTACCCCGAACATGATGTCGGTTTAATAGCTGTGATTTAATCGGTTAAAGCCGAATATAATTTCGGTTAATGAGAACCAGGTTTAGCCGGTTTTAGGCGTTTTAGGAGGAACCCTAGGGGAGCCGAATATGATTAGGGTTTTATCTAGGGTTTTAACGGTTTGGAAAACATATTTTGGATGTGATTTCGAGATCTATAGGATCTGTGGTCGATTTTTTTTTTTTTTTTTTTTTAGGGTTTTGAAGTGTTTAAACAACAGGTTCTATGGCTCTCAGTTTTAGAAGATACCTTTTCCACCTTTGGATTTCTGACAGGCTAATGAAACTAGGAGCTAATAGACCTCAGTTAGCCGCTACAAATTCCAAGGATTGATCACCAAAACTGGAGAAGCTGCTGGTTGAAGAAGGAAAAACTCGGATCTGGTTTTTTTTTTCGGTTGATCGTCGTGTACTGTAAGTGTGCGTGAGGGCGCGTCCGACGTTGGATCGACAAACGGTTTTCACCAGTAGATTCGTCTCGTCGAGGGCTTCGATTTGATATGTAGATCGTCTTCTGGTTCCTCACGGTTTGGAAGATATGCGTCTTTTAAGTTTCGACTTGCTTTTAGGGTTTTGGTGGTGGCCGGATTTATTAGGGTTTTTCGCTCAGAGAGTCTTATCGTGCTGATAACGTGTTGTGAAAACTTAGAAACTTTATTAATCACTGGAATGTATATATAGAGTACATAGGGAATTTAGGTTAAGTACAATGCCCTGATGAGCCTAATGGGCCGGTATAAGAGTCCATATATGATATGTGTTATAACATAATTATATAACTGTGTATTTTTTAAAAAAATAACTCGATATAAATCTTTTTAATTTTGAATGAATTGAGTCAAAGACTCAAAATCTGGAGATTTTATTAAAAAAATAACAAAAAACCAAAATCTCCTAAAATCCTTCAAGTCAATGGCTGAAGTTTTTTTTTTTACTCTCGTAAAAATGGCAATATTAATATTAATAAACTGTAAGAAGAGAACGCCCATATAGAGAAGAAATCGGCAGACAAAAAAAATAGCGTTGGCTCTGTGCATCTTAGCTGCCGATTCGAGATTAGACGCAGCGAAGAAGCGTCTCTTCGTGGATGGGATGATGAATGCACATTTCCTCCTCCTATCATCTCTTTTGATTTGATCGGCTTCTTCTTCTTCCACAGCTTTCATCATGTTTCGCCCTCTCAATCCCAAGCATGTATTCCTCTGCTTCCTTATCTCTTTCGCCTTCTTCATCGATCCCTCCTCCTTGCAGCGTCTCGACGACGCCAAGAAGAAACAAATGCGAGAGAAAGTCCGCGAGATGTAAGCAGCGTCTGTGTGTGTTTGGTCTCTCAATACTTCACATCACTAATTTGATATCATTGAATTTTAGCTGATTATCCATTTCTGCTCCCTCCCACCGAATTTATGTATGGGATTAGGTAAACATGGTTTGCTCCTATTCAAGCTCATCCTTCTGGGTTTCGCCTTTTTGGCTCCCTCGTAATAGATTGTGTCTTAAATGTGGTCGATACCAGATCCTCATCCCATTGAATGCTTCAGAAGGATAGAATAAGCGAGAAAGAACAAAGAAGAGAGCATGCAAAATAGTGTTATCGATGACGATTTCATACTTGATCATCTTGTTTTACAGGTTCTATCATGCATATGACAACTACATGACTTACGCATTTCCGGTTAGTGAACTACTTCAAGCTTATCATTATGAGTTGATGAATTCTGACTGCTGTGTTTCTGAGTCCCATTACGTTCTGAATTCTAACAGCATGATGAGCTAAAGCCTCTTACAAAAAGTTTCACAGACTCCCTCAGTGAGCTTGGAAATCTGAAGGTAACTTACTAGCTCTTCCATAAACGATTTGACGCAGAAGCTTGACTCCAAGATTTCTGATTTCCAGCTTGAACACCTGCCAACAGATTATAGTGGATCAGCTGTTACACTTGTTGAGTCCTTGTCCAGGTAATTTTATGCAAATGTGAAAGCATTCCGTGAGTGGTTTTTCAATACCAGTTTGACATGATTCTCCTTTGTCCCAGCCTTGCTATATTGGGAAACAAGACAGAATTCGAAAAGGGGATTCACTGGCTCTCAGAGAATCTAACATTCGATATTGATGCACGGGTCAACCTTTTTGAGGTAAAATGTAATCCAGGAGCTTAGTTTATTTGCTCTTTGGTGTGATTATAGTTTCAGTAATGGTCAAACTTAGTTCTTTTTATGACTTCTTTGATATAAAGTCAAATTCTGTTGAAGTTTCCTTCAAGAAGCTGGAGGTGTCCTCGAGTTCCATAAATGAGTTTACTCGCACTTGACAGTTCTAACTGGTTGTTTTGCTTCTGATCTGTAGTGCAATATAAGACTTCTTGGAGGACTTATCTCTGCTCATCTTCTTGCAATTGATCCAACTAATAGGTTGATTCAGGGGTCCTACAACAATCAGCTTCTTCGATTATCTGAAGATCTTGGAAAACGCTTTTTACCAGCGTTTGAAACACCCACAGGGTTACCGTATGCATGGATTAATTTGAAGGTACTGAAATGTTACTTATGGAATGCGCTTAAACTAATTTTTACTTGAATGCATCTGAAATTCTGGGTATCTAATGTGAAAAGGAACAGCCACTTTGATGGTTTTCATTCAATTAGTATTTAAAGGTTTCCGCGGTCTTACCTGCTAAAGTTTGAGCTCGCTCTTCTAGTTTTCTTGGAAACGGAATTTTTGACCCCAAGTAATATCTTTGGGCAGAATGGAGTAATGGAGAATGAGACAACAGAAACAAGCACTTCAGGGTGTGGTATGTATCTTGTTGTTGTTCTTTTACATCTTAGTGGCAAATAAACACAGATATTTTTCTATGAAGAAACTAGTTTTTTGAATGTGATGATGGAATTTATAGATATGCATTTTACACTTTAGGTTCTCTCATTCTTGAAATGGGAGCATTATCACGGCTCACTGGCGACCCTAGATTTGAATCAGCTGCACTACGTGCGCTTCGTCAGCTGTGGAGGATGCGCAGTTCGTTAGATCTGCTTGGGACGACATTAGATGTGGTAACTGGGAAATGGCTAGAGTACTCCTCCAGCATTGGAGCTGGTATGTTGTTCATTTTCAGAGGAATTCTATTTGTTTATCCAAGAGACAGCTGCAAAATTATTTTACTTATAATGTGTTGAATTAACTTGTGCCTTAGGTTAATGTGGCTCTGATGTGTAGTTTCCTTTTTGTTCTTTTGAAGGTGTTGACTCCTTCTATGAATACCTCTTGAAGGCTTATATTCTTTTTGGAAAAGAAGATTACTGGCGAATGTTTCGTTCTGCTTATCTGGCATCTCAGAAGTACTTCAGACATGGGCCTTGGTAATATACTAGCCTGAAGAAACGTACTTCCACAATCTCCATTATGTCATTAAGTATTCTAATAGGCCCAACTGGAAGTTGCTAGATGTAGTAATCAATTTATTACCTGATTTAGGTATCATGAAGCTAATATGTGGAGTGGGAAGCCAACTTATTGGCAGCTCACAAGTCTTCAGGCGTTTTGGCCTGGTCTCCAGGTATAATGAATTAATGCCATAGAGAGAACAGTTGAAATAGGGATATCCTGGTTGTCATTCTCAAGTTCTTACTATTAGGTTCTTGTTGGGGATATCGCAGCTGCAAATTCATCGCACCGGGAGTTTTTCCATGTATGGGAGAGGTTTGGTGTATTACCTGAGAGGTATGCATTCAGTTGTTGGCTTTGTACGTGCAATCTTTTTCAGTTGGTGTTTGAGCTAAAGACGCTGAACGAATCTTTGTTCAGGTATTTACTGGATCATCAAATGATACATCCGACTGAGAAGTACTATCCACTACGTCCTGAATTAGCAGAATCAACATTCTACCTGTACCAAGCTACAAAAGGTTTTTGCTTTTTCTTGTAATTGTCTCACCCTGAATGTTTATTATGTGAAGCACCAAATTTTAGGCAACCTCCGTTGACAATGGATCTCTCTTCTTGCAGATCCATGGTACCTAGACGTTGGTGAAACAATGGTGAAATCCCTTAATCTGTACACGAAGGTTGCAGGGGGTTTTGCAAGTGTTAGAGATGTGACAACCATGCAACTGGAAGATCATCAGCACAGTTTTTTTCTCGCTGAAACGTGAAATTACCATTCACTTCCGTGCACGTAATTCTTTTCTTACCATACAACGTCAGAACTCAGAACATCATATTGGTTGTTATCTCACGTTCGCAGGTGCAAGTACTTATATCTCCTGTTCGATGATTCATTCGTGGCCAAAAGGAATTATATATTTACAACCGAGGGCCATCCTATACAGGTTATGAGCTCCTGGCATGAGAAACTACCAGAAAGTTACTTCTCAGGCAACTGGACGTTTTCAAAGGTCTGTCTCTTGTTCCAGCTCTATCAATTTGGAAGAAATAAGACTTATGCATAGTTTACACTGCCTATTCAATGTGCCTGAGCAGTTAGGAAGAACAGCAATGCTATTTTTTCAGTTAGACAAAAAGGCATGCATTAAACGAATCCAATAGTCATGCATTATTAGTCATTTCTCTGCTCCTGCTAAACTAGTCATTTACAAATTTGCAGAGTGGAGCATGGGAAAGTCGAGCAAGCGCATTGTCAATGCAAGTCTGTCCATCGATTGCTCCCAACTCTAGACGACCTGAGCAACACAGAGAGAGTGCTTGTCATGTTCCTGATGAGAAAATGGATCATAGGTGTTGGAGCAACAAAGAGTGTGGAGTTGACGCCACTACTTGTAGACAAAGATCGTGCAGCGGGGTTGGATTCTGCGGCTTGTGGAATCCCTTATAAGTTATATACAACTTCTGACTTAAAACAGAATACATGGCTTTGAGTTTCAGTAAATGAAAGAGGTGGGGCTTATAAATACAGAATGTTCAAGTACTATAGAGAGACAAGTTTTGGTGGACGGAAAATATAGTTATTGAATGATGATGTTTTATCATTTCTAAGTGTTATCAGATCTCGGCATGGATTTCTAATTACTTGGGAAGATCAACCCTTGGACGATTAACATAAAACTTGTCATTTCTATTCACCATAGATGCCCATGCATACCACCAACAACACCAGTCAATGTTTTCAACAACACTAAAACAGATCTTAGTTTTGCAATGTTGGATTTTTCTTACCTTTTTGTGCTCGATGATCCACCAAAAGAAAAAGAAAAAACAAAAAAGCAATCATATACGATGGTTCGTAATAGCATATCCACACCTTGCACGAACCGGTTCCAAAGTAGGAATGAACATATATTCTCAACTTGTACAAGTATTTCAAGAAGAACATTGCAATAACTTAAAATCTTTATTGGGTTTCATGTAAGCGTTTTATAGGGCAGACGCATCCATCCACCTAGGTCATTTCTGAGTTCAGCTTTTACTGATAAACACCTCAAGTCTGAGATTCAAAGACTAAGATTCGGCAGATGAGGCAGTGTCATCTTTGTGCTTAATCATGCCTGAGTCCACAAGAATTGGAATCTCTGCAGCAAGCCATGGAGCAAGCCCCAAACAAAGTGCATGCGCTATACCAAACCGAGGACTGCATAAACAAAAATCAATCATCAATGCCAAGAAAAACGAGTAGGTGCTCATATTCGTGATAGAAAACGATTGCATAACGTGTTCAATCCATGATCGGGTTAGCTTTGTGTTTAGCTTTGTGCTCAACAAGACAAAATTGATAAACACACAAATGTGATCTCATATTAGATGTTCACTTATGAACAATAACTATCATTTAGACCTGCACAAACAGCTTAATACTAGAGTTTCCCGGCCTAATCGAATCAACATCGACAACAAACCAATCTAATAAACATCTTAGGACTGCGAGTTCTTTCATAATCCTTCTCAAAATCAACGGGAATCAGACTAAACTGATCTAAAACATTGCCTGCTTCTCTAACAATGTCTATGCAACTAGAAGCACGATAAAATTACCAGTTTTTAGCCCAGAGAGGCTTGAAATGCACAGTCAGGCAAATCTTCCCACCTCGATACATCTACAGCAAACAAAGAGAAAGAGAGAGATAGCTATAAAGACAATACCCAATTGAGCAGAAACGACCTCGGATCGGGAAAGGAAAAGAAAGCACAAACCTTCTGAGTTTTGCCGTCGATTTCAGGCAGCTCAAGCTCGGGAGCAGTAGCAGGGTAGGTGATAGGGATATCGAATTGCAGATCGAATTCGTATTTGAGGAGATTGTGAACATACCAACACTTTCCAGTCCAACGAGTGCCTTCGGGATTGGCGGCGGAGATACGGAACCAGTCGTTGTCGTTGGACTTGTTCATCTGGGTATAAGCGATCAGAGACTTGTACTCTTCTTTAAGCCTCTGCTTCCATGCATCGCCGTCTCTTGGCCCTGCCTTTGTCGTCAGAAGCGGAATCCGCGTTAGCGTCGACTTCGTGCTCGGATCCCATCCTTCCATTTCTCTCTCTCTCTGTCTTCTGTCTCCTCTCACCGATTTGGGCGTGAATTCGACAACCCTATTAGCGTTTATTGGAACCGGATGCTTGATTCTGATTCCTCTTTAGCTTTTGTCTTTTGTTAGCAACTTAACTCAGCATGGGACGATAAAAAGGAAATGTAACCGAAAAAAAAAACAAAACCGTGTTGGTTTGTTGTCGGTTTAAACCTTGAAAGTTTTTCGTCTGATTTTTAAATACTGAAATTACGAGTGGTTCGAATAAATACCGGAAAATCGAATTTTCTTTTCATTTTAAAAAAAAAATAAATTGGATTTTTTTTAGTTTATTGCAACAAAAGAAAAACATACAACGAATGCTTCTTCTTCCTCTTCTTTTGATCAACACAATGAACTTTTTTTTTTGTGTGCAACACAATGAATGTTTCTAAATCCTAAGAATAATGAAAACAAAAAAAACAGATTTAGAATAATGCATTGTAGTTTTGGTATTTAAGAGCCTGGAATAGAGATAAGTCATAAGTGTCACGCAGTGATTTGTCAATGAAAACCAATTGTACTGTATATAGAGTCGAAGAAGTTTATCTCGTCGCTAAATTTTTCATGTCAGATTTGATATATGTAGATAAGAAAGAGCATAAGAGAAAGAAAAAAGATATTGTAAATCACTATATATAAATTTGATATTGGTAAAGAGTCATTCTCATTTGTGATTGTTGTTCTTTCTTCTTTTTAATGTAATGTTTAACTACCCTAAAAATGTGAGAATCTAACATGTTTTTTATTTTTTGTAAGAAGCTCACTCGGAATTGTTGTCATTATATTGTTTTATGCGAGTTTGATTTTTTTTTTTTCCTTTGGATTTATAACTTTTGCTTTTCAGTTCAACTATAGTCTCGTGAACTTGTGATATGTAGTGTGTTTTACGTGGAAAATTCCCACAATGGGAAAGGAAATGAGGAATTAATCCGACTTTTTTTCTTGGACTTTATGGTATATATACTTTGAAAAACGGGTTTCCTTGCACGTAATTCCGTGATAAAACTCTCTGTTTTAGTTTGCCTCATTTATTAAGTGTCAATGAATGTGAATTGTGAGATATAAATAAATCAATAAATAAGTGTGTTTTGTTTGAGTAAAATGAATAAATTTCTGCATAGCGAAGAGCTAATTAAGCTGTCCAAAAGAACCTAAACTCGGTGTTACTAGAGGCAAAAAGGATTTGTTACTATACAAAACTAAACTGTTTCAAAAAAAAAAAATTTAACTGTTTACAAGAGCTTGGTTACGTACTAGAAACGGCGCTCTTTGCGACTGCCGAGGGGTAAAACGACAGGGTGTTTTTCGTTTGGCGGACCTAGAAACTTTTAGGAATTAATTGAAGCTTTTTCTTGTTTTCGCAGCAATTGTTTTTCTGTGTCTATGCCCATTTTGCCTAATTCCTCTCCGTGCTGCTACTCCTGTGTTCGCCGAGATTCTTCTTCTTCAACCTCGAAAAACCCTAGAAGATAAGCCACTGTGAGAGGCACCGTATTACCCCTTGAAAATTCCGGCTGTCGAATCTCGAATCCAGTAATGGCAGCTCCGGCTGCCGCGACAGCCAGGGCGCAGGCTCTCTCTCTCCTCGCCGCTGCCAACAACCACGGCGATTTGGCAGTGAAGCTCTCGTCTCTCAGACAGGTGAAGGAGATATTGCTGTCGTTGGAGCCGTCTCTCTCTGCTGAGATTTTCCCCTATCTCGCAGAACTCCACTTGTCGCATGAAATTCTAGTTCGCAAATCCTTAATCGAGTGAGTCCTTTAGCAATTCTACGCTTTTTACCTCGTCTTACTATTTTTTTCCTCCCCGGATGGTTTTTGCTCCTAGCTGTGAACGAACTCGTTGAAGATTTTTCTTTTTGGTTTTCGAACTTTGTGGTGTGTTAGGGTTCTTCTGTATTTTCGGGATTGTCTTTTTTCCCCAATCTGGAAATAGTTTCATCTCTCTATCACCAGCTGTTGTTATAAAACTATTCAATATAATTCCTCATTTCGCCGTGATATTTTTTTTTTTGGTGGGATAAATTTGAAACTTCCCAGGTGTATGGTGGATATTAGTTGTCCATCCCTGTTCTAGTGCTAACGCATACTTCATAATTCCTCTCGCTTTTGTTTCACAAGCGTCTATAGGATTAGGAGCTTAGTTTACTATATTTTGGGGTGCACCAACTTACTTCTGTAGCTGTTTATGGTGATTAGTTTGTCTGACTAGTGGATCGATTCTTTTGGGTGACAGGATCATCGAAGAGGTTGGTTTGAGGATGCTGGATCATTCTTATGCTCTTGTGACTGTCTTACTAGTCTTATCAAGGGATGAGGATCCAATTGTTGCAAAGAAAGCTATTTCTGTTGGCACAACTTTCTATTGCAGCATCTTGAAGGAGATGGCAATGCAGGTCCATACTGTTTCTCAAGTTGGATATGTTGTCATACGCATTTGTTACTTTGAAACTCTTTCTTGAGCTCTTCGCAAAATAATGCATTTATAGTTTACAATTACCGGCGAAACTATTTGACATACTCGTAGTTGCCTTTGAGATTGAACTAAAATACATGGAATCAGTCCTCACGTTTTCGTTTTTTAAACTTCGGTTGGTTTTATGTTGGTGCTACTTATTTGGCAATTTAAGGTTTGCGTCATAAGGCTTTAGGGTAATATGAAATAGTGAAGACAATAAACCAGTGCAAGCTTGGTTATTTTCCTGTTTAAGTTTTTGTTGGATTTCGTATCCCTTTTACTTTATACTGATTTAGTGTTTATTAGTTAGTTTTATATGTTAGTAGAACTTTAAGATCTTTGCGGGTCACCACAGTAATGGACGTGGTTTTTAGAATTAAAATCCCTTTTTTCTCACTGATATGTGTTATTCTTGATGATCTCTACAGTTTCATCATCGTGGTAAAGTTGATCGTTGGTTTGGGGAACTCTGGACGTGGATGGTTAAGTTTAAAGATGCTGTCTTTTCTACTGCATTGGAGGTATGCTGGCTGTGTATAACCTTTTTATATTTGTCTGTCTGTCTCTCGTGACGTATGATCTTTGGTTGAGTATTTGTTCTGCTTCTCTGTCAATTTAAGATTGTCTAACATGATAGTCTGCTGTTTCTTTCATGATAGCCTGGTTGTGTAGGGGTGAAAGTTTTGGCTCTAAAGTTTATGGAGACATTTATTTTGCTCTTTACTCCTGATGCATCTGATCCTGAGATATTTTCCAACAAAGGTATTGCGTTCTAATCATGCAGTTGTTTTTTCTGATTATATAGTCTGATCTGGAATAGCACAATACATGATTTGTTCATTTGTTTCTGGCATGTCAACCTTTTCTATTCTACTACAGGAAGTAGACAGATGTTCAACATTTCCTGGCTTGCTGGCGGTCACCCCGTTCTAAATTCAGCATCGCTCATGTCTGAAGCAAATAGGACATTTGGTATCTTACTAGATTTCATTAAGTCGGCTGGTCGTTTACCGGGTGCACTGACGATAGCTGTTGTTAGTTGGTATGTTTCTGGATACATCCTACTATTCTTGTATATTCACTTTTCTTTGTATTCTTCATGATGTTAGTTGTGCTTGGTAACCTGTTACAGTTTCTGCTATCCCACAATGTTAGTTGAAATTATGTTAGCTATTTTGCCCCTCAGTATGCAGATTTGTTGGTGATAAATGAACCATACAGAATTTGTCTTGGTACACTGATATGTGTTTGAATGATGGGGTGATTTTAGTAGTATCTTTTGCTTAAGCTTTATGTGTGCTTCATGTTTGTGAGATTCAACGACAAGCAGATCTTCCACTTTTAAGTAGTTTCATGGTCATGCTTGTTCGTCCTGCTTGCACTTTCAGTGTGTTTTTTTTAATCAAATAAGCTTTGTAAGACGAATAACATCAGGGGAAATAAAATGCTTTTTTCCATTTTTATGTGTCTACTAAACTTTTGGCTGAGAGAGATAAAGCATGGAGACAGGTTATAGCACCGGTTCAATCCCTCTGATATAGTTGCAGCTAACTGAATCATACTCCGGGGGGAAAATGGCTCGGTTGAAGCTGCATCAGTTACCTGATATTGACACAATTACCTGGGTATATGGCCCCCGCATATTTTTGGGTACTGTGGAGCTCCAATATACAAGTGATAAGGGCATCAAACAACGGATAGAATGGTCAGCTCTAGTAGTTAGAAATGCAGAAATATGATAAAGGAAGGCTTTATTTGGTTATGGGAACTGGATGTATATAATATACTTATGACTGTTATGTTGGGATATTAAAAATGTATACACTACAGTATAACGGTTTATACAAAGTATAATATGGCAATCAGTGATTCGCTTATGCTAAATTCTAGCCTAGCATTTTCTTGCATTGTGGTTTTATCTTCTGCTATGATGAATGTTTCTTCTCCATGTATAGGATTGGGTGGATATTTGATATGAATGATGATGAGTTGGAAACATTTTGCTGCTTCATCTTATATTATGTCTTGCTCTTAAGATGGACGTAGAAGTTATCTCATGGTTGTTATGTCCAGTAGGTGGCACATCGTTAGTCACTTTGAACAATCAAAGGTTTTGGGAGCACCTCTATTAACTTGGGAAATCATCTCTGCTTAGCAAATGACAAAATCTTCAAAAACTAGTGATTACCTAGCAGATGATTGTTTTTTCTGATATTACCTTTTGATGTCTGTGACCACTTATCTTTCTAGAAATATCAATGTTAAACCCTGATAGGAAAGACATTGTCCAGAGAGATGGTCTTGATTTTTCTTTCGGTTTTACTCAACTTTTTATTGATGGAGTTGTCATAGAGTTATGTTGATATATTTCCTGGACAGAACTTCTGACTGCTCAAAGTATTATAATGGGATATGTAAAAAAATTGTTTGAGCAAAGTTTTATTCTGTTAATGAGCTTATTGGTGGTGTTTTATGCTGCAGAATCGTGAGGATAATTTCTCACATGAAGTTATACTCAAACTTTAGTATCTTTTACGTTAGATAATTGCACATGTTAAATGCACCTTCTTGCATAGGAAGAACAGGAGGGCAGTTTATTTGAGCCATTATTCGTTCTATTGTTTG